ATATATATATATATATATATATATATATATATTTCCGAAGATAAAATCCTAATGAGTTCTTAAGAATAAGAAAATTTTAAATTAACATTATGGGCTTGTTCTTTTGAGTGAAAAACTCAAAAAAATACAACTCGAGTTATAACTTTATTCGAGTTCATGTTCTTTTAAGTTTAAACTAAAGTTTAAACTCGAGTTCAAGTTTCTCCTTCAACTCGAGTTCAGAAACTCGAGCTCAAATTAATGAAAAATATTTTTTCTATTCTTAAAAATGCTATAACTTTTTCGTTTTAATTCTGATTGAGATGATTTTTTTTCTATGCGTTGACAACGAAAAGACGAATAAAACCCGACCCATATACCCTATTAAAATTTTTCATCAACATTGAGTTTTTATTAAAATACTATCTAAATACAAATTCAAGTTTTGACTTACTCAAACACAAACTCAAAAAGATTCTTATCTCAAACTATAACTCAAATGTACAAAATTAAACACAAACTCAAATTACAAGTTCAATTCAAGTTATAACTCAAAAATTATACTTAAGTTAAACTCCAAAAGAACAAGCCCTATAATTTAAGAACCACGTGACCCTTTTCCTCTGTTTAGGCTTCCCCAAACACCAATTGATGTGGATGTACCATAAGACATTAAAAAAAAAAAGAGAGAGAGAATTCCGTAAGGAAGACGAAAAAATTGAAGGCCCGTTCTTTTTGCTGATTCGAGTTTAAAATTTGAGTTTTGCTACAGTAAAAAGCTCTCAGAAACAGTCACATCTAACTTTTTTGCTACAGTAAAAAGCTCTCACACAACATTACATCTCAACTCGAATTAAAAACTCGAATTAGCGAACCGAACGGAATAAACTATGGAAAATGCGTGATTGATTTTTGTTTTTTAAAAAAGCTAATTGACTACCGCCAAGACATTATATATAACGGTGACAATTGCTAAATCGTAAACCAAATCCAGAAAAATTATTGGGATTGAAAAGGAAAGTAAATAAGTAAAAATAATTATTAATTATTAGTATGTAGATAGTGTAATGAGAAACACTAAAATATAAGAATAAGAAATTTATTAAATAATTATTATCTTATACCAGAGCAAATTATTAAAGGTATATAAGAAAATTTGGCCTTCATTTCATACCACGGGGCTCCAAGGATTGACCATCCCTCCTCATTTCCTTCTTTGTGTGGGGCTCATTCCTTAATTATTTGCAATTGTTAGGCACATGATAAGTAAAAAGTCCTAGCAGTAACAGTTGGAAATGGCTTTGTAGATAGTACAGAACAGAATAATTAACAGCAACCCATTAAAGGAAGCAAAAAAAAAAAAAAAAAGAAAAAGAGGAGGGGTTACATTTTAGCTTCCTGTGTGGATTATTAATGAACTTGCAATGAAAGTAAAGTTAAGAAAAAAAAAAAAAACCTGATCCACTTATAAAGAATGGTGAACAACGTCTATAAGAAGGTGAGAAACAGCAGGCCAGAGAAGTTGAGAAGTAAGTCCAGCGAAGAAGTTTTCTCTCACGTAATAATACTCCTTGTAAGAATGGTTGAAGATTTGGGTCGCATCCTCAAGACGCAACCAGTTCATGACGACTCCGGTCTTGCAGAGTATGAACGTTTAATTTATGGATTAGAATCATAAAATTAGAATCATTTTTGATTTACGTGTATTTTTTTTGAGAGAAAACACTATAGCGAACTATGAACTATGATTCAAATCATGGTATGAATCCTCCAACCAAACGTCCAAGAGCAGAACGTAAGAAGTAATTATACCGTCATAGTTCGGGCAACACAGCTCCAAGCTGACGGACGAGGTTTTCTAGGAGAGCATCTGTGTATATTCGTGAACTTGTAACTCTGGAATTTTCAGGACACCTTTCTCCAAATCGAATCTGATATCGAAGATCGATTTTGGTCTTGCAGCTGAAAGCATCGGCTCGAGATACCATTCGATCGAAATAATTTCTGTCACGTTTCGTTAAAAATTGAAGAATTCAAAACTAATGAATTTCTCAACAAATCGAGAATGTGTTTGCTTGGATGTGAACTAGAAAGTAGACGGTTGAGAAAATAGCACCAAAGAACTCAATGGCTAGCTAGTTGAATGAGGGGATTCTTGTCAAGTTGAACAAAATGTCGAGCACCATCCGAGGTATTTGGTTCTCTAGCAGTATCAGGTCATGATGCACTAATGGTACCATGCCAGACAATCTGAATATTGGGTCCTCCTTGCGGAAAATTCTCGATATGATGAAGCAACCGTCGGCGTCGAGTACTAAAACCTCTACAAACTTTGCCGCTTTCATGCCAATGGGTCCAGAATAGTACTCCCTAGCCTCTTTCCAAACCTGGTGGATGGCTTTCGTTAAGGTACTTAATATTGTCTCGGGGTCTTTGGGATTTGGATTGTCGTTTGGATTTGAAAGAGGAGAGACAAGGTCAAACAAACATTTGGATTTGATCTTTTCGGTATGTTTCAGTTTTTCTTCATTGTGATGGAAGGGACAGAAGGAAAATGAGTGGGGAAAATGCCGCCACAATTTGGTTGGAACAACTTGCGAATAGTTTGGATGTTGTAGTACAACTTACTCTTATTTATTTATTTCATTCTGGTTCTTATTTTTCATTTTCTTTTGTGTAGTTTTTTCTTTTTAATTGTTTCTTGTTCTGTTCGCCTCTGTGGCTGGGCTTCCGATTGTTTTTAAGTGTTTTTTTTTTAATTAAAATTCCAATGCCTCTGTGATCGTATAAGCTTTATTATTCAACTGATTGAAATTTTTTTCTTTATTCATTCTTTCTTACTCTTTTTTTTTTTTTTTTAATATTGATTATGATTTATGTTTTCTGTTTCTTTACAATTCTCAATTTTTCTGGTTAACTTGATGTCTCTAACAACTTTTTAATCTTTGATCTTAATCATGTCTTATTTCTTCTTAAACGCAGTTAGATAAATCTTTTGTGTTGTTTTATAACATCACATGATTTATTCTTGTTCGTTCCTTAGATAGAAATAGACATTAATAGTTTGAATTTCTTTCCACCATAGATTGTATCTATTTTTCCTATCTATTTTTAGATAATTTCCGTCTTCTAAAAAAAAAAATCCTGGAAGCATACCCTTGAGAATACCAATATATGTGAATACCTTTTTCCGGCCTTTACCAATTACCGATTAGATGTGAACGAAAACCATGAGAGCATCTCAGTGACTCACTCCGTTTCTTTTCTTTCTTCTTGCCACCAAAAAAAAAAAAAAAAGTGTCATAAGAAAAATTAGCCATATATTACCATGACTGAAATAGAGTTCAGAAGAAATAATATTTAGGTTAGGCCCCGTAAAATGCAACTTAATATATATTTGTTCTTCTCTGGATTCATAATGAGATCGTAAATTTTGTTAGTGATCAGAAAATTAGCTTCCAATTTCTTTTACTTGTTTCTTTTGCAACATGTTTACACTATATATATATATATATATATGTGCACCAATTGCTTTTCTAGTTTAAAGTTTTCTTGGCTAAGCAAGAAACTGCTGGGAGTTGAAACTGCATAAACCTATATAGATCAAGGGCAGGTTAAGGCAGCTAAGAGCATGGTGAGGCTTAGGCCTTAGCGCGCGCGTTTAGAAAGCACTAGATTAATCTAGAAGAATGAATACGACAAGAAATAATTAATAATAAATGGACTAAGACAATAAAAGAATAAGTGAATTAAAAAAAAAAAAAACAGTATGAAGATCGATGTGTATATGTACATATATCACGACATCATGACCATAAACTCATCAAAATTGAGAACCCCATCACCCTTGAGATCAAATCTAGCAATCATAACCTTGCAGTCGTCAATACTCTTGGACTCACCAAGTCTACTAAGCATCCTCTTTAGACTTTTGGGCGTAATACACCCACACCCCTCCATCTCATACATCTTAAAAGCCTCTTTCAAATCCTTAACCTTCTCCTCTTCTCTCCCTCCTTCCAAAAACTTCACAAAGTCATCCAAACCCAATAATCTGTCTCCGTCAGAGTCCAAATAGTCCATTGCCGCCTCCGCCTCCGCCTCCGAAAGCTCCCCGCCGATTGAACCAACGCATGTTTGCAGCTCCAATGGCGATATCTTCCCGTCGCCATCGGCGTCAAAGTGGTTGAAAACGCGCTCGTACTGTGTGAGTTTGTCCATATATATGTACGTTCTTTACGGTTCACAATTTATACTCAAAAAATGCGAAAATTAATGTCGGCTCACTTGCGGACCGCAGTTGTATTTTTGCGATGATTGAGAATTGCGTTCGGAAAAGGATGAAATTACAACAATAAGCACCTGGAGATGGAGCTCAACGCTTTGATAAAAACACCTCAGCAACAACAAGGAATCAACGTAATAAGAAGTGGGGAAATTGGAGGTAAGAGAAGAGAGGGAAAAAGGATTAGGAAATGTTTTGAATTGAAAAACACGAGACAATTGGAGGCATGTATATATATACATTAGTTTGTATATACGTCGGTGATGCGTGGTGATGCCGCGTGTCGTGGTTGACCGACCAATTAACTCATGGAAAGGGGTACGTACCTTCTCCTGAAAACAACAGGTATTGGGGACAAAAGACCGTTGACTTGAAATTTGGCTGACGTTGATAATATGCTAAGGGTGATGTCAAATTCCACAAGGTCTTCATAAATGGAATCTTCGAGAAAAAATAAAAATGAGAAGAGAGTGAAAAAATTGCCCACTTTTTATTTCAACGGATTCTAGAATTAAAGAGGAAGAGGTTGTAATGCTGAGATCTATAACCGCCAAAATTGTTTCAACCACCAGTAATATATATATAAAGAAAATTCCTCCTTAATTTAGTTGTTTTTCACATATTGACTTGGAATTTGTCGACATAAAAAGAACAAGTCTGAAGTCACGATGAGGAAAGGAAAATTCCTTACAAGCGGGCGATATAAATTAATGCTCCAACGATACCCCTTTTTTTGCATTATCAATTTGCTAAGATATCAATAAAAAAGAAAAGGTACTCAAAGCTTAATTTGCTAAGATATCAAGCAAAATATAAATTCTTTATCGCTAATTTGTTAATAACCAACTTCCAAGCTTAAATATAGCCGACGTTTCTATAATCAATATGATATGTGGAATCATATTTGTGTTATTATGGCTTTTTTTTTTTTTCATTTTAAAATCTGAACTGTCGTGGTCGCATTATAACAATATTGACCGGCAAAGGGTTAATATTATTCAATCATATATTAAAATAAAAATGCTTAAACGTGATGTTCATAATAACATACATAATTACTAACATGCTTTTTCCCCATTAATACTAAGCCTTTCAGAAATTTTCGGTTAATAATTGGTCCAAGAAAACAAGCTTATGGACTTTGTAGCATACAATAAAAAAAATTAAAAAAGTTATGGATATATAACACATGCTACTATTATTTCATTCTTTAATTTGTAGCATACAATAAAAAAATTAAAAAGTTATGGATATGTTTAAGAGCCTTCATATTTAGTGGGCGTAAATTAAATATCCTTTAATTAGTTATCTTTCTAACTTGATTCAGTTATTTACTTAATTGATCACCATGATTAATCTTAGCGATATGTTCTTGAAGGAATTTCGGAACACTATATTGTTGTTATAGAAAATACACCATATAATAACAGGTCCATATATATACACAGTTCATTAAATAGAAATGGAATAATACGCTCTCCACAATCAAAAGAAAATTAATACAAATTAAAGATGATCACTTGTATACATGGATATATAATATTACCGAACATGTCCAAATTAAAGGTGCAGCAAATAATTAACCATATATTACATGCTATTTCATGATGGTAAACAAGGTCTGTATGAATGTACATACCGTAATAAAAGTCGCTACTCCAAGTGAAATAAATGCCCAAGGGTGATTAAAATAGTCACGCACAAGCACCGTTCTATACCTTGGCCATTGGCGTTTGCAATGTTCATTGACTTGCTTGGTAAGATTGAGATAATAGTTCTCTTTTACGTAAGTGTCGGTGTAAAGTTCGTTGAAGAATTTGGTTGCTTCATCAACACTCAACCAGTTTTCAAGTATTCCTATCCTTGAAAGTGACTCTATATCGTCGTTCGTGTTGATGAGATTGTCCATGAGAATAGCATAAGTGGTGATCACGGGCTGACAACCCGGACAGCACTGTTCGAAGCTGATGAGGTTCCGAAATAGTGGCTCAGTTGTCTCTTGAACGAGTAGTGGTGGGATCTCCAAGACACCTTTGTTGAATTTAACGTCCAAGATGGATTTTGAATTTTTTCCCTTTTTGAACTTGATTCCCGCCTTCTTGAGACTTGTGACCGAAGGCATCGGTTGCCAATTGAGATCCGCCTCGTTTGTAACAGAAGAAGGCCAAACCAATGAATTCCTCAACATATCAAGAATGTGTTTGATTTCATTTTGAGGGTAGAGAAGTGTCTGAAGACTATTAGAAGATGAAGTTGGGAAAATGTTGCCAAAGAATTCAATGGCAAGTTGAACAAGAGGCCTTTTGTCAATGCGGGTAACAAAGGGCAAGTTAAACAAAGTTTCAAGCACCACCCAAGGAATCTGGTTCTCTAGCATTATCAAGTCATGGTATAGAAATTGAAGCAAGCAAGACATTTCAAATACCGGGTCGTCCAGTCCTCTAAGATTTTGGCACGCTTTCTTCCGGAAAAGCTCTATGATGAAGCAACCATCAAGCACCATAACTTGTACAAATTCATTCATGGTCATACCAATTGGTCCGGCATAATACTTGCAAGCCGCTTCATGAACATCGGTGACGGCTTTGATGACATCCCTTAACCGTCTCTGGGGGCTTGGCTGACCGCCGGAGATGAGATCGTGCAAGTATCTTACTTTGATTTTCTGTGTGGCTTCCATCAGAGGGCTTCTCTTGTAGTGGAAAGGACCAATGGAAAATGCATTTGGTGCATAAGCTTCTGCGTTGTGCCTAAGGAGTATGGTTGGGACTCTGAAGATGCAACACTCTTGTGGCATGAACAAGTTGTCAGCCATCAAATTCTGTAACTCAGCTGCCAGTCCATCCACATTAATAATAACAATATCATGATCTCTGGATAATCTAGCTCCGCAATCGTTAGCTGCCATTTTGTTGGTTTTCTCTACATTTAACGGCATATTACAAAAATTTAGGAGAGTATTAAGAAATGGGACTTCATACATAGAAGAAGATATACACTTTAGATGATCAAGAATTAATTAAGATCAAACACGATCACGAATTGATCATATACACTTTATACGCAAACACATATCATATAATTCCCTTAATCAAAGTAGGTTTATATATTATCACAATTAATCCATGAAATACGAGCATTGTAACACTTTAGTCTCTACACTTTTAATATTTACAAATTACTTCTGATTTTTATTTAGAAAGTAATCCTAACACTGAAACTGATGAAAGACTTTTAAAATTTCATACAGATAATCACATTCCAATTGTCTTTTATATACACTTCAAATTAAGAATTAAGATCACACTCAAGAATTGATCACATACGTACACTTTATTAAGATCACACTCAAGAATTGATCACATACGTACACACATATATACGACATTTGAATGTATTTTCATAAATAATAATGAACCGGATTCCGGTGGAAATAGAATGCAACAACTAACTAGTAATTCACTCACCTGGTTTAAAGACTGTGTTTAACTTTTCGCTGTGATATAATGCTCCTAGCTAGTGCATGTCTTCCTTCAGTACATGCATGCTTTTAAAGGAAAAAAAAAAGAGTGAAATGCGAATCACGGCACGCACATAATATAATATAATATGATATAATATGATATAATATGATATATAGTACATTAATCTATGTTTTGAAGTTTAATGTGAAGGAAGTATGAAGCTTTTTCATACGGGAAAAACAAACAGGGGAAGCTAACAAGTTAGTATATATAGCACATCCAAGTTATACAACAGACAAAAATATGGAACATCGAATGAATAACCATATAAATATCTTGTATATAAATATATATATATATATATATATATAGTGACTGATTTATTAGTAGGGGTCAATTTTTTATTATCAAGAATATTATAACATGTATACACATGTAATAGTTTTTGGTTATTAATCTAATTTACGGTGCAATAAACTGTAAAAAACTATTACTAGTTCGAATTGTGTTGATTTTTTTGTTTGAACAAAAAAATTTAAACTATATGATTTAAATTGTAGTTCGAATTTGATACACTTATATATCAAATTGTATGGTTTAAATTGGATTTGATATATATATTGAAATATGTAAGTGAATGTGAGAGTTTGACACATTTAACTCCGGTTTGGTTCGCTAGTTCAAATTTTGTTGATTTGAACGTTTTATTAATGGAAAAATTCAAACTGTATAGTTTAAATTGTAGTTCGAATTGGCATTTGAATGTGCAGTTAAAATTTTAATCTGAACATGGATTAAAATTCGAATTAGTGTTTGATAGGTGTGAAAAGCAGAGAGAGTAAGCATCTTTTTGCTGTTAAAAAATGGTTTGAACGGTTGAACTTAAGGGGTGAGTTAAATTCTAAGTTGAACAGTTTAACTCAATTCAAACATGGAATATTATTCGGACTGCGGACTTACTAAACACGAATTTAAACTGTGCTCACTGTTCGAACTGAACTGAACTGGATTAAACCAGTGAAGCAAATGGGCTTACTCTTAGAATAAAGTGCAATTCCAATGCGTACTCATTCAAGTGCGAAACGGGGGCTATTCTTAGAATAAAGTGCAAGGCTTACTCTTAGAATAAAGTGCAATTCCAATGCTTACTTTGCTTACTTATTCAAGTGTGAAATCACTTTCACTCTACCGGTTTCTTCTTCCTTTTCTTCTTTGGCAAAAGCAAATTATATTCGAACAAACATAGCAATTAATTAATCATAAAAGTCATTGCTGCAATATCCCTACATTTTCTTTCTAAAAAAAATTGTACCTGGGAGAATTTATACTCTACTTCACCACGACATGATAAACAACTCTTTTTTTTTTTTTTTTTCTTTTCTAACTTTTTTGTACGTAACGATATTGCAAAATGGGAGAAATGAGTGCCCGTGGGGTTTTTGAAACAGTCATGATATTCATCCGATATGATCCTGGCCAACTTCGTTGGAAATGCTCAATTTAGCCTTAAATATGTAACAAGTTTATTTGATATAAATACGTCACACCATATTCTTTTGAAGAATTTTGTCGCATCCTCGATATCAACTGTTTTTCTTGGCCGTGTAATTTAAACAGATGGAGCTGAGCTGGCTATCATCAGATCACGTGGAAAGATACAAAATCGAGTGCGAAACTGCTTGGGTTAATTGTAAAGGGTGATGATTAATTGACAAGCCAAGATTTTTGAAAAATGGTTAACATAAAATTCCATCCCTCGCGCATGGTCTCTGAATTTCCGAACATTATAAACCCAAGAGAACAATATTATTGAATTTAGTCGTGATTAAGCTTAAAAGTTTGTTTTTTTCTTCATTTATTATTTTCTAGATGAGAGGATCATAAACTTAAATAAGATATAATATGGCTCCATTAACTGGATCTCAAGGTTACAAGACTGAAATGTTTTGTAGGTTTAAGCCCCAATTATGGCTATTGGGACCTATAATTCTTAACTTCGTTCTATGCCGAACAAATTAATTAGTATTTTTTTAAGGGATGGGATCTTACCGAGTAGTATGATTTTTTGCATGCGTTAATGACAATTACATGCAATAATTTTATCAAGTGTCATGATGCTAATATTTTTGTATATAATAAATTTCCGCAAGCGTACGGTGTCAAGTTTTGAGTATAAGGTGAGTGAGTATCGTCTCCACAGGGATTGGGTTTAGAATTGCCGTTAAGTACTGTGATTATTGTAACTTAACTTTATCTAGGCAACCTAATAAGATGATAATTGAGAACAAAAACAAAATAAATATAAGAATAAAAATAAAGTATCTATACACAAATGGTCTAGGGACTTGATTTCGCTTTATTATTCCTATGTTCATCTTATTATGTAATCGCTAATCAATTCCGTTCAATTCATTAATCATGGCTCTAATGTCATCTCGCAACCTCTCTCGAGTGCCTCACAAGAAATTGTATTTAAATACCCAAAACAATATCCCTATTCGAAATGAATATTTAAACACAAATTAAGCTTCGCCTTTAGAATTAAAAAATAGGAATATTGATCGCCTCTCGGCCTCACAACGACCTAAATCCTAATTTGATTATCTAACCGTTGATCTCCTCTCGGTCTTACAACAACCTAGACTATGTTTCTCAAATCTAGATAAAAAACTCAATCTCTCTCGAGCATCAAATTCGCAATCTAAAAATCATCTAACTCATTGGCCAAATAAATTAGAAGCATTAAGCATAGAGAAACATAATGAAAGAAGATAAAACTCAATATCCATTGAAGAGCTTCCAAGGACCTCAAAGATGAAGGATTTCGGCCTCCTTTTGATGTTTTCTTCAGTTTTTTAGGCTCCCCTTCTTAAGTGGCATATATTTCCTTTTATACTACAACATTTCAGAGCTAGAGTTTCATACGCGTGCTGCAGCCTGCGTGAAAACGCGTTGCGGCGCACATTTTTGGCAGAGGATCCCGCTGTTGCGGGCTGGGGCGCACTGCAGCACGCAGGGCATGCATCTGGGCGCGCTGCAGTGCCCATTGGGCGCACTGCAG